CTTTTGGAGAAACATACTTCATACTCAAGCCATGAAATATTTGCTGGAATTCTACCTAATTGTGACCTTCCAAATCCTAGCGAGTCTCGGAAATTAGAAAGAAAGACAATTAAACTTCAACGACATCATTCAATACACAGGAAGTATTACACTAGTATTTTTGTCTACCCTTACGATATGGTGAACAGGGTTGGTAGTAACAGTGATTATAAGACCAGACCCCTTCCCGCGTGGAATCATGACAACATGCTGAACAAGACCAGTGCGACGAACATCGTGGAACTTCTTTTGAATAGGACAAGAAAAAGGTTAAGAAAGTAAGTAAGAAGAGTTAATRAYSATGCAAAAGTGACTCRTTTGAGTTCCCATGGAACTTTACTACCGTAGTACTGTTACTTAGAAGTCATATCTTAGCTGTGAAGGATGTACACTTATTTCAAAAAACGTTGTCGAGGAGAACGGCGAACGGCGATTGTCGAAGGGAGAATGAACGACCGAAAGGGACTATGGTTACACGCTGTTTGACATACAAAAAAATTCAATTGTTTGGTTTACTTGCGTGAAAATGGAGACTAAATGGAGCCAATGATGACCATAGAATATCTTACGGTAAAAATTAGTTATTATTCCCCATCCATTATCAGAACCCATGACTCCTTTCGGTCGTGCAATCGCCGTCGACAATTGCCATTCGCCATTTTATCCGACAACATTTTTTGAAATAGGTATATGTTCCCGAATCCGAGTGCAAATAAGTTGAATTCCCAAGTCTGCCCGAGGTTTAGTGACATTTAATACCAAATCTCCCGAGGAAGCCATGCTAGAGTACAAAAACTAAAAACATGCAACACTTTGCACTATTTACTACTAAATAGTGTTAATTAAACCATAGAAAATTAACAATAGAATCAGCATAATTTAGCAGTATTTAGTGGTATTTATGTTAAACAGTCTTAGTGTTTGTACTCTATCAGCATGATTTCCGAGAAAAAAATATTTCATTTTCAGCGATCTMACCYTAAAGACAATCGTCAATGTCGAAAAGTCGAATTATTTCAACGGGAGTCGATTYCTCGTAGAAATCGACTTATCGACTCCATCAAACGACATCATCCAYGTCTCCGAGCACATCTATCACGACAACCACAMTGTTTGCTTCTTGGCTCCATGGAAACGARAAGTGATTGTYACGTTTGTTATAACTGCTAAAAACCARGGGAAATGGATCCACGTTTTYCTGGACGGTATGGYGTCCATGATAAAACGAACACAGGACCAAAATATCAGAGCAGTTATCTTTGACTATGAAAGCAATGACATTGATCTKTCAGGAGCAGTTGCTTGGCGTGGTCTTGAAGATAAAGTGAAGATCGTAAGAAARAAGGGAAGATTTTCTAAGACGGAAGCTTTTAATTTGGCAGTTCAGCAAGTTAAAGATCCRCACAGTATTGTGTTCCTGATGGACCTGCATTTCACAATAGGCGATGGATTGGTCAATAATATTAGAAAGGTAATAATGACCAACGGCTACTTTGTAGCCTCTGTTTTTGTCGGGYTTCCTGTCCTACTTCATGCACGGCAAAAGGAGAGGCTGGGAACGAGACAACTTAAACCAGGACCASGGAACACACTGTTTTGCATACACATTCCGCGATAGACCTCTGAAGCTTTTACGTCATGTTGGGGACATTTTGGGGACAGAACACTGATGGCGGATTTTTTTGTTGTTTTCTCTGACCCCACAATGCATTGCACAAATCAAGCGAGACCTAAAAGTTTCCGAAGTCTATACGCGGCTTATTCAGCTCCACCTATAAAAGGGGCGGACTTTGGAGGTTAAATGTATACACTTTCTTCTTTCATATAGTYTATCGAGACATGACCTTTATCTCTGTCACATAAATCTCCCTACAGCATACAATTGAAGGTGAATTCATCTACAGCCCGGTAATCATCCGACAATGGAAGGACACAACACCTCATAATCCAAGACCCAACAAAGAGTATGGCTACTACGACTTCTACGGCTACGGCCTTATGGGAATCTACAAGTCAGATTGGGATCACGTAGGAGGATTCTCCGATGAGGCCAAATATGGTTGGGGAGGGGAGGACTATGATCTTATGGATAATGTGTTTAAGCAAGGCTTGGATTACGTTAGAATCAAATGCCCGTATTTGTATCATTTCAATCATGACAAGAAGGGCATGTGGGCGAAAAGATGACAAACCACCGACCGACGAGATTTTTCTTGTTCATTGAAAAACTGAGAAAGACAGGATACTAAGAAGTTACTTTGAGTTCAGTTCGGTAGGAAATTATAATGTAGTAAATAACTTAGGGTTTTCTTGACTTATTTCAAACAAAGACTGTATAGTRAAAATTATATAGTTATAGCTCAAAACAACGAAAACAACGAAAATCAGATGAAATTATACCCATGGTACACAAGATATAATGATATATGTTAACGGTTAGAATTTTTACAATGAATGTAAAATATTTTAATATCATTAAAAGAAGGGATTAAGCTCAAGCCAGACTTGTAAGGATTATAAAAACATTGGACGAAACCGTAACCAGGTAATTCATATCTCGTTCAATGTCTATTTTGTTGATATACGGAATCCATGTCCGTACGAATAAGTCACGCAGTCCGATTCATACGGACATTTTCACCGATCTCTTTCCAACTCAAAACTGCCTAAACTCATTCTCGTTTCTTTAACTATTGATTTCGACGCTTTTACATC